TATATGATTCTATACAATGTGCCATGGGCCTAACTGCATTGTACAGAAATTTCTTTTGTAAGTTGGAAGAAAGGCTGTCACATAGTTGATTCTGCCTTTGAAAAAGTGCATTTAGATTGGGTTATATGGAAGGTTTTTTAAGAGGAACTTGGTTTTTATCTTGAAAGCAAAACAAATGACCAAAGCATTTGGTAGATATTCTATGGTGGAGGGGATTATTTAACAACAATAAAAAAAACCCCAACATATCAGTGTGAGCACTTTCTTTGCAATAAACCTATACATTCAAACCATTCTGCAGTATTCACACAAAAGATAGAAATTAAATACAGAACCTACTACTTAGCGAAATTAGTAGGGGTTTTTATTATCTCAGTCTCTCCTATCACATGCACAACTAAGATTTGACCTTTTCATTAAAGAATTAGATAAGTTATGTGAGTACTTAATGAGAAATTAACTATAATTGCAATGTGCAAATATTGCAGCTTTTCAGTTTAAGAAAGATTTGTGTGTCCTGTGGTCTGATATTCACTGAGTGGAAGGTAGATTTGACTCCATTATAAACTGAAGGGGCAGCAAACATTTCATGGGTAAAAGCTGGCATAATGGAGATTCATGTAAACATATATATTTCAGAAAATATCTCTGTGCAGGAACTGGAAGTTCAACCATATAATTCTGCAGTTATAAGGGAAATAACACAGAGTTGTGTGGATTGTGAGGAAGAACATATTGTTGTGCCTTGTTGAAACAAAAATACCCACCCTAAACTATTATATATTATTGAGTACTACTAAGTAAAGACATTGTATATTATATTAATGCAACTGTCTGTATTCCAATAATATTAAAAGTGTGTTTAGTTTAACTAAGGCATAGGATTTGGTTTTGGTTGAAATACAAACCAGTGATTATATGAAGTAATTTTACTCTGAGACCAGTCTCTTAATTTGGGATTGGCTTCCCTTTATGAGGCTGTCAATATTTGTGAGACTAACACCTGGAAAGTTTATCATCAGCCTCGGCTTTAAAATCTAGCCATGCTAAAGCACTGGGAATTTTTCTTTTGGTTCTACTAGGATCAGAATTTAATCTCTCATTTTGTTAAAAATAATGCAAAACAAACGTACTGAAGCTTAGAAATACTCAAATTCAGAACCGTGTGCCTGGATGCAGTTAACTCTACTCCTGCCATTAGAACTCTTGTCTCTGTTACGAGGCTAGCAAAAATGGGTGGCTTAAAGAGTCTGCAGGGGCCTGAGTGACCAGGACTTTTTCTTTTTTGCATCTGATTCCTTCAACTTATAACTGGGTGGACCCTTAATCCCCAGTGCTGGTAAGATTTCTCAGGTCTGCTAGAGCGGTAAGTGGTCTGTAGATTGTTGGCCGGATACATAGAGGGAAAGGTAAAATTATTTGCTGCATTTCTTACCCAAGATGCTTCACAACAAAAATTAGATTTGTCATAGCTTTAATGATTCTGATTGTACTCCTTTTTCTCCTCTTCTGTCTGCATATCTCTGCCGTGATTTTGAAAGTATATATTTTGAATAAACCAGCTCAACAAAAGTGGACAATGAGGTACAGAATATAAATTCTGAGGCCAGCTTAAGATAGATTGAGCCTCCTACTTCAGTGGATCTAAATAGATGATTTTTTTTTTTTTTAAATAGTAGAGCTATGAGAGAAAATTATATTGATATGAATTGATTCATTCTTGGTGAAAGTTAGTGAATGTATCCAGTGACCATGCTGTTTTACAGTAAACAAGGCCAAGGTATCATCAGTCTAATATTTGGCAGTATAAATAAAATGCAGTGTGTTGGTTTGAGCTGCATGGATGTTGCACTATTCACCAGTGTGAATACACAGTGTGCTTTTACAGAGAGCATTAACAGAACCCCTACAACAACATCTGCAAGATAGCTCCCTTTTCATTATCAATTCTAGGTAAAGTAAAACAAGATAAAACCAGAGAAAACATATGTATGTGACATACTAGTAGACTGTTTCACGTCTGCATACGTGGAGAAGGGTATCAGCTTTTTCATTTACTATGTTTTAAAACAGGTAAAAAACTGTTAAAAAGAGAAAACCCCTTTTTCTTTGCCTTTTCTCAATGGGTGAGTTGCTGTAGGGGACTATATTTCACACCTTAGGTGAAGCCTGGAGTTTGTGTTGATTTATTCCTCTAATAAATATTTCATGGAATCATTCCACTGTTATTTAGGATGTGTCTTCTTAATCAAATTTCAATCTTTTGCTTAAATGTGTGGATTAAATTTATGGAGTGTGGAACTTGGATACACTGAGAAAAGGCTTTAATGAAAAGTGCTTGTCTCTCTTTCTTTTTTTGGATTTGTGCTGAGGTAGTCTAGTCCCTGTCAGCATCTTTACAGGTTTTTAGTCTTTGGAATCACAAGTGGTTGTAGCATTTCCAAGCCCGTTTCCTGGCTGGTAACCTGCAGGCTACTGTAAGGGAGTGAGGTAGGTGGCCGTTACGACTTGGTGTAGGTTTCAGGTTTGTAGGGTTTACCTCAGGAGAAGAGGACAGTGTTAGCTTATGTGGATATCTTGCCTCAACAGCTTTTCCTTTTATAAGAAAGAGTTTGAAGCTTCATGTGAAGTACCATTGTTGGGTTTTATTCTGTGGTGTGTTGTTGGGTTTTGTTTTTTGTGTTTGTTTTTTTTTGTGGGTTTTTTTGGTGTTTTTTTTTTTTTTAACTTACAGATTTTTTTTTTTTCTTTTGGCCAAACCATAAAGCTTCCAGATTTTCCTACTGCTGACCGTTTGGCATGTATAATAATTCCTCTTGACCCATTCTCAAAAGTATGTGTGCATCATGTAGTTTTAAAACTAATTAAGGCTGATTGTTAACAGCAAAGTTCCCTGTCCAGTGGTTAACAAAGAAGGGATCTTGGCTACATCAGTCTTTTCAAACACATTTGCTCATAAAAAGACAGGGTGGTTTTGGGTCCACCCCCACAGTGGGTGCAGTGCTTCCCATGAGGGTGTTTCCCCCCCACCCCGGTGTGATTGCTGGGAGTACCTGGGATCACACAACTAACCTGAAGACATCCATTTTCTCTTCACTCCCCTGACAGGTGTGTCATCTTTGAGCATCCAGTTTGCCAAACTTCCAAAGGGACTGAAACATTTAAATTTATCTAAAACCTCCTTGTCACCTAAAGGTATGTTTTATAAATATGCAACTTCTTCTGTTCTGAAAATTTCAGGCTTCCATCCTAATAATACCTTTTGTTACCAGATTATAAAGGAATTAATTCTGTAATTGATTTACATGTGTATTCATGTAAAGGGGTAATGGGTTTAAATTGAAAGTGAGGAGCTTTAGATTAGATGTCAGGAAGAAATTCTTCATGGAGAGGGTGGTGATGTACTGGAACAGATTGCCCAGAGAAGCTGTGGATGCCCCATCCCTGGAAGTGTTCAAGGCCAGGCTGGATGAGGCTTTGAGCAACCTGGTCTAGTGGAAGGTGTCCCTGCCCATGGCAGGGGGGTTGGGACTAGATGGTCTTTAAGGTCCCTTCCAACCCAAACCATTCTATGATTATTCACAGTGCTCTGAAGTGCTGAAGTGTGGGGGCTGTGTTCTGTGTCCTCTTCAGCTCTTTGGACAACTCTTACTTGCTTCTTTAAGCTTTGGACTTGAATCTGTAATGTAAGGAAAGATTGAATTTAGAATTGGAATAAATGCTATGTTTCGTATATTCTTCAAAAAGATGTGTGAAGCAAAAATGTGTACAGAATCTTCCCAGTGTTTTGCACGCAATTATTTTATGAAACCAAGTGTTGTGGTGATGGCTGTTAAGTGGTTTGTTCTGAGTAAAGACTTCTTTATTTTATAATATACAAATTTCCAATTTGATGTAGTAATTGAAATGTATGTGTATTTTGAAAGCAGTAACAGTACTGAAACGCAAGAAGCTTTCAGCGTTTTTTGCATTGCTGTTTTACAAATAATAGACACATCATTGACCTCTTCAACAGACTGCTCAAACCCAGGGTCTCCTGTACAGAACATGAATGTTATAAATAGAAAAAACACACTGACATTATTGCAGCTTTTTCACAGTTGTTGATGACCTGGAAAAGATGAGTGAGTTATGGTCTATGAAGGACGTTAGTTGATTGCAAACAGGAGCCATGCACTTTAATCCTTCTATTCATTGCTCTGTGAAGTGCAGATTCTGTTTTCTCCTAAGATTTAAGGTTTGACCTGGGGGAATATGGGTGGGCTTTTTTTTTTTTCTGATGTTGTTTTTGAGTGTTCTGTAGCTCCTGTTATGCTTAAGTAAATAGTAAAACCTTAACTGAATTTATTCAATTGTTATTTTAATTTAAAAGACTTTATTAAACTCTGGGGTTAGTTTTTTCCCCACTGATGACACCATTTTTGGTGTCAAGTTGATAAGGAATCTTTACTAACCTTACATGTACTCTTGAGATTGGATGTTCATGAATTTGATAGAAATTCACGTAGTTCTGGTATATTCATTCATTCTGTGCTTTTATTCATGTGACCTGAATGATTTCAGCAAGTGCTTGTGATTGTTGAGTCAAGAGAATGTGCTAGCTATGCTTTGTAAAGGATAAATTGATGAAGTTCAAGGATAAACTGTAAAGGATAAACTTGATGAAGTGCATCCACAAAACTCTTGTCAGTAAAAATGAATCTGGAGGTTATTAAAAGAATTCGGGAGGTTTTTAACACACTTTTAAAGACAATCTTTAAACACAAGCTGAAACATATTTCAGTATGTCTAATACTGACCTCATGTGAATCCTAGACCAGACTGCATTGCAATGACTGTCTGATCTCCAGAGAGTAACATGTCACTAGTAATATCATCCCATGGCATCTCCTCAGAACTCCTGGAAAAAGTATAAGAAATGTGTTAAAATCAGAATTTTTATAACACTGTGGACCTGAAGAAACCCGGCTTCACCTATTTGGTTTTCTGCAAAGCTTTCTTAGCCAGTTTTCCTTTATCTAAGAAGACAGTACTGCACTGGTTTTAACTTGAGAGGCTATTTTTGAACTTGTGCTATTTAGGGGGGAATATTGTCATATTTTCTGTGGAGAAAGTCTAAAGCAGACCTTGGATCTTAGATGCAGTAGGCTCCAAGGTGCATGGATATTTTTCCCCAGCCTTTCATTTATTTATTTATTTTGAGCTTTTCAGTTTGAGAAATTCAGTTCAATCCTTCACTGGCTTTGACCTTATTTAAAAAGTGATTTGTATTCAAGAAAAGTTTCTAAGTTTGAGAAGTCAAATTCAGGTGGTAACTTCCCAGCTGATCTTTATTCAGATATTGTATCTCAAAGTTCCTGAGAGCTATTAACACTCTGAGCCCCCTGAGAGTGGTAAAAGAGCGTGTAAGATTGTCTGCAAATGAAAGTGAGATTACAGTTAGAGTATTGCATGAGGTAGGTGAAGTTCAAACAAAAAATGTATTGATTTGAAGATCCTGGTTAAATGGAAAATTCTAGTATACTCCTTCAAAGATACTAGTATTCTAGTATATTCCTTCAAACTTACTTTTCTGAGCCCAAGCCAAAGGCTAATTAAAAAATCCCTCATTCCCGTTGTTTGCCTTCAGTGGTGTGGCTGATTTTGAGCAGTTGGTCCTTTTAAAACATGAAACAAGCAGCAGCATTACGGGTTGTTTGATAGCTCTTCTCCCCCAAATTCAAACACTGCTCCTTCATTGCCAGAATTGGTTCTCGATAGTATATGCTGAACCATTGACGGTACGTTACATTCATTTCTGTTTCTTCTTGTTGCTTATAAATGCTCTTGAGAAGACTCACGTAAGTGAATCCAGAGCCATAAGCTCCAGTGGTTAAATAGAGCTTTTAGATCTTTCAAAAAAGTATTCATTTGCAGCTTACCTTTATAGTGAGAGTGTGGATCCAATAATGCCATGTTAAGATAAAGGAAAAATTGCACGGAATGAAAAAATCTTTGAGACTTGGCAAGGTGTCACTGTGCTTCAATTCTTTTCAGTATCAAAAGCCTCATGAAACCAAGAGCCATACTATTAACATGAGAGACTTTCTTCATATTTGGGAGCTTGGAAAACTAAAGCACTGCAGTGGGGGATTTTGATCTCCAGTGACTTGCTGGCTACTTCCTCCACATCCTCATGTATAAATCAATTTTGTAATAGTTTTTCTTTGAAGAATGGACATGTTCTGTCTATTGATTGCCAGTCCATTTTCACTGACCAGTAGCTTTGAGAAATTGCCCAGTATTGTGTAGTAGATAAAAAACCTGCCTGCTTTATGACTTTGGCCAGGCACTTACAAAACACATGCATGTAGTGTTTGAAAGGCAGCAGTAGCCATCTACAATAAATTAAAGACTTAGTGATAGGCTAGGGAACCCTCAGATGAAAGTTCAATTTGCTGGAAGTAGCAACATCCTAATTTATATTTGGAAAAGCTGAAGAATTTTAGGGGAAGAAAGCTCTGACTGGTTTTGTTCCCAATGTGAGCTTTTTAATTTTAATGGGAAAAAAATGTATTTGTTCTGATGAAGATTTGAGAGTCTTTATGCATCTCTTGATATTTTAATCAACTAACTATTTTTCTGAAATTACAGGCAAATATGTAATTGAAATATTTTTAACTTCTAGGCCTTGTCAGTTGCTTTTGAAGTTCGGGCAATTATAATTGTTAATGTATTTGGTCTTCCACAGATACTTTCATCTACTTCCATGGATACTTTTATCCAAATATTGTTGTTTGCAGGAAGACACTGTCTTAATGTTACAGAGTAAACTCTGTTTTAAAAACCTGTTTCAAAGTGGGTTTGCACTGTTAAAGCCACAGCAGACTTCACAAAAAGACTTCTTCCCTGGATCCAGGGTCTCTAGCACACACTGACTTCATCAGGGCAGGTGATGGAGCATTGTCCAGGCAAAAGTTGGTATGCTTTGGCAGGCAAGGGTCTTCTATCTGCCTGGTGATCTGTATTCCTCTGCTGCAGTGCAGTGATGGTAACAGGAGGTCATTAAACATTTATGTATGTCTGAAATTGTGCACTTGCAGGGTGTGGGCTAGTTTTGTCTAGAGTAGACCGAGTACTGACTTTTTTTTTTTTGGCAGGAGTGAATAGCCTTTCCCAGTCACTGAGTGCCAACTCGCTGATCACGAACACGCTCGTCTATCTTGACCTCTCAGGGAACGCGCTCCGTGGGGATGATCTCTCAGTAAGCACTTCCTTCTCATTTGCGAGTTAATGCATCGATGTTTTAATTAATTGTTAAGAGAAGGGCAAAGCCATTTTGTTTAGGTCCTTTTTTGCTTTTATTTCAGTACAGTTCTAGTAGGGATAGAAAATAAGATTTTGATCTCTACTCTTCAGCTTATAGTCAGAGAATTAAATTGCCCCACATGATTAAACAAATCCACGTAATTTTAGTTAATTCTTTTAGTCCTTGGCTTTTACTGATAAATGAGAAAACTGCAAGTGTGCCACTTGTTTCAGTGGGCTTGCCATGGTCCCTGACTTCTGGTTGAAAGTGACCAAAACACAATTAAAAAAAAGTCATCTTCTAGTGGTAAGTGTATTACAGATTTCTTATTGGAAGGTTGGAAACAAAGTCTTTTGACTTGGAAAGGCTTAATTTTGGGGTTTCAGCATTTTTTTTGGTGTAAATAAATCTTGACACATGCTGTTGAAACTCACGATTCTTTAAAAAAAAGTAATTATTTTTGAAATTACTTTGTTCAGTTTGTCAATTGCCATAGAGGTGCAGCTCCATTTTCTCCATTACAAAATCTCGATTTGTATGTATTCCCTTTTTTGACTGTTATATCCATATTTCTCTCTCACATCAAAAGTTGTGTGCATGTAAGTGTCAGGTTTTGAGTTCTTTAAGTATTGATCATCTAAAATATGCAACACTACTCACCCAATCTTATAATTTAAAATGCAGGCAGATACAACTGAGTTTTTCACAAATCTGACTAGTTGCAAATTCATCAGCACATCCAAAGAACTAGTCTTTTCAGAAGTAAGAGGTGAAAGTTTCAGTGGTAAAAGAGGATTTAAAAGGTAGCAAACAAGTAGTTAAATGTAAATAAAGACACACAGTGAATTACTCTTAAAAGAGAGAATAACATAGAAAAAAATGTTAAAAAAAATGTACAACTTTGATAGGCAATGCTTAAAGAAGTCCAGTTTCTACCTACACTATTTTAAGGGACATAGATATGAAGAGTGGGTCTTTTCTTAGCCTGTTGGAGAGATATGGTTCCAAGAAAAACATGATTCTATCAAGGTCCCCATCCAGAGGGACCTGGACAGGCTGGAGAGGTGGGCCACTGCCAACCTCATGGAGTTCAACAAGGCCAAGTGCAAGGTCCTGCACCTGGGTTGGGGCAATCCCAAGCACAAGTACAGGCTGGGTGGAGAGCGGATAGAGAGCAGCTCTGAGGAGAAGGACTTGGGGGTACTGGTGGACGAAAAACTGAACATGAGCCAGCAGTGTGCGCTGGCAGCCCAGAAAGCCAACCGTATCCTGGGCTGTATCCAGAGAAGTGTGGCCAGCAGGTCGAGGGAGGGGATTCTGCCCCTGTACTCTGCTCTGGTGAGACCCCACCTGGAGGGCTGCGTCCAGCTGGGGAGCCCTCAATATCAGAAGGATATTGACCACTTGGAGCGAGTCCAGAGGAGGCCACGAAGATGATCAGAGGGCTGGAGCACCTCTCCTATGACGAAAGGCTGCAAGAATTGGGCTTGTTCAGCCTGGAGAAGAAGAGGCTACGAGGAGACCTCATTGCAGCTTTCCAGTACCTTGGATGTGGCTTTGAGCAACCTGGTCTAGTGCAAGGTGTCCCTGCCCATGGCAGGGGGGTTGGAACTAGATGATCTTTAAGGTCCCTTCCAACCCTAACCATTCTATGATTCTATGATTAATACTGACATCTCTTAATCTATGAAACAGTTTTGCAATAGAAGTGAGGGAATCCTGTTATTTAGTAATTAAAATAAATCCTAACAAAGCACAGGGATTTTTAAAGCAGGGACCTTTCTTCCACTGTAGGTATAGTGGGCTAAATGACCTAATTTTTAGAAAGATATATCTATTTTAGTAAAGTTGAACATGCTCCTTTTGGCTTGATTTCATGTGGAGTTGAGCATTCCACATTTCTGTGGATTAGGTCATACTTCCATCTTTCTGTGTTGTTCTCCAAGACTAAAAAAATCCCAAAATAAAACAGCATATAGCGGGAAGGTTTACATACACTAACATTTACATGACATATCCTATGCAGTACCGCAGCCATCAATATTAAAGTCTTGTTAACGTTGCTGTGTACTCCCTCAAACCTTTAATACACTGCTGATATTAAGAAATAACCATGGGCTTCATATGCAAATTAGTTGCCTCCCTCATGCTTAAACTTACAAAAATATTAGCCTCTCTGAAATGCAGCAGCAAACTGACATTCCAAGGTAAATTATAATTTGCTGTGAAAGTGAATTGCAAGGTAACTCAAGACTTGTTCATTGAGTAACGTTGGGTAGATGTACTCTGAGCACTGTTTTTTCCCCTGTTGTTTTAACAAATGACAGCCTTCAAAAGTAAAACAGGTTGTTTTGATAAAATGAAAATAAGTTTCCAACACAACTCTCGTAGTGCAATTTTTTGTAAAAGCCTAAAGTCTAACGAGATATAGTGATCCAGTGATCAGTGTCATAATATCAAAATTGACATGGATAATTTTTTTTCTCTATTAATTACAGAGCCTGTACAATTTTTTGGCCCAGCCAAATGCCCTTGTTCATCTGGATTTATCCAACACGGAGTGTGCGCTAGATATGGTAAAGATGTTTCTTGTGGAGACTTACATACCAAGGAAACATTCCTCATATTCTCTCCCTAGGTACTTTTCTGGGTTAACATAGAGTAAAATCAATCTTCTTTGTTTTAAACCAGGTGTGTGGAGCCCTCCTTCGTGGATGTCTTCAGCATCTAGCTGTCCTTAGCCTCTCTAGGACCCTTTTTTCTCACAGGTACAGTTTAAATGCCATTAGTCTTAACTCCTGCAATATTTTGTTTTATAATTTCCTCTCATGTTGCACCTTTTTTTAAGAAGAAATCTAAGACTTGATAAAAGTCTTAGTTATCTATGAAAAACGTATTATTTATTGCAAGCAAAATATTTTCTTTCCCTTTCTGCTCTTTGCTAGATGTCTGTAAAATAAGCTACCTTATTTAATATGTTTTTTGTGGTACTGATGCAGTGGAAAGTTTATATGTATCTTTTGTCTCCAAGAGGCATGTCGTCAGGCTTTGAAGTCTGACTGACTTGACTGATTTAAATTTGTTTTTTAATGATGGTTACAAATGCTTTTTTCCCCCCTTTTTATCCTTTTTTGGGAGGAAGTCTCTTTGAAAGTCTTTGAACATTGACTTTGTAGACTACTTGCATTGTAGGAAATATTAACCTTAGCTTCTTTTTTCTTCCTATGGGATGTTACTCCCTAATTGTGGGGGTAAACTACTCCAGCACTGAATAATTATTTCTAATGGTGAAAATGCATTTTCACGGGTTTTGTAATGTCCAGTTTGATCTTCCACTCATAAGATACAAGTATGTTCACTATTAACCAGACCTAAACGATCATTCTTTGTAGTTCACCAAACAGAAGCTAGATAGTAATGTCTTCTGTGCAGCAGAGAAACGCTGAGGATTGTTTGTTGAATCAACATTTTGATGACATTATATTTCTAAACTAATTGAGAGCCACTGATTACAGAGTTGTTGAAGGTAGAGCAAATTAAACATGTAAAAGATCATTACAGTTCTGATGGCTTACATTCACTACTTATTGGAATGAGGAGTGTGTAGATGCTACTACTTAATGAATTTGTTTGCTTACAGAAAAGGAAAAGAAGTCCCTCCCTCCTTCAAACAGTTTTTCAGTAGCTCACTTGCTTTGATGCAGATTAATCTTTCGGGAACTAAACTCCCTCCTGAGCCTCTAAAGTAAGAATTTAATTTCATTTTCTCCTGTTGCCTAAAACTAGTTTGCATCGGTATTATATGAGTGCCTCATATTAAAGATGAAGGGGAAAGTATTTTGCCTTTTTTTTCCATTGTACATTATTGATATCGCAAGAGTGAGTTTCATAATGATCACACATTCAAGAAATGTTGTTTCCATCTCGCAGTTCAGACTAATCATATTTTGTTCTGGGGGAACGTCACAGCTGTTTAGCTTCCATCAACGTTTTTTGGTGATATATTTCTTACTTTGTGATTTAGGAACAGAACTGTTTGCTTCACAGCAAAATGGGATTATGTACTTGCGTGAGTGCCAATCCCTTGAGGCTGCGGGGTTGCAACAGCCGTTGTGAAACTGGACTTGCTGCAATGCCTGGGAGAAGAGACCTATAGCCCAGAGCCATGCCCTCCTTTTAGGGGGAGAGAATGGCAGCGACTTCTAGGGATGCTGAGTGTAAGACAGCGCTTTGCTATGTGTCACCCATCCTGTGGCTGACAGGTTCTAGTGATGTGGATTGGGCACTTCCATTCCCATATTGTGGGATATAAAGAGTAGTTAGGGAGTACTGGATGGAAAGCTTTTGATACAGTCTGAGGGAAGCTAAGGGAGAGAAAAGTGACATGTGCCACATAAGAAACAGTAGTTTACATTGTTTTGTGATGTTTTTTTCTTAATGCAGTCAGACAATGGAGAGGACAGTACAGTATGATGCTTAAGTAAGATGCACTGGATTGAAGTCTATATTCAACTGCAGGAGCCTATAATTTTTAGATCTTTCACCCTTGCCTGTGTGATGCTCTTGGTTGCTGTCTTGCTTGCTTGAACTTTGTTGAGATCAAGAAGGAGATCACGTGGTACTGATGTGTGATTCTTGGGAAACATACTGGTTGATTCTGATTAATTTAGGGCTGTTGATTCTGTAGAGGAGGGCAGCAGGGAGCTAGCTACATGTAATGAAGCAACAACACAGAATTTATGTTACTAATGCACCAGACAATCCTGTCAGTGCCACAGGAAAAAAAGAATGCTGTGAAACACTGAATGCACCTACACAGATTAGGAAAGTGAGAAGCCCCAAACGCTAAGGTTCACATTTAGGTCTTCTCCTTGGCATGTTGAGTATCTCCTGGGATATTGGAGATCCAATCCAAAATCCTGGAGTTTTGGCAGGTGAGCGTTCTACAGCTGCCTGCACTTATGGAAGATGTTACTCTATTAATTTATCCCAAATACTTGGGACCCCTCATCTGCCAGCTGTGCAGCAAATGCAATCTTCCTAGTCAGCCAAAGTGATCTGTACTAGCAAAAACCTACTCTGATAGTAATGTTTAAGCTGATCTGGATCACTGTGACTGAATTGGGTTAGAGGGAGTTACTCGCATGACTGGTGTTGGTGGAAGTAAAGAGACAGTGACGGGCAGTGTAGGATGAGCTGAGAGCAGCAGTAACCTCTTTTCGCCAGCAGAGACAGCTCCAGAAAGGAGCATCTGTCCAAAGTCCAGCTAGACACACATGGTCCCAGAGTGTCCATGCCACTCGGCTGGCTGGCATTTTGGCATGGGCTTATTTTGTTCTGATGGTAGTGTTCACTTCTGCCTAGTAGGTAAGACAGAGCTTTTAATATTTTTTGGTAGTTTCCTTGATGTGCTTTTTTCTCTGAGGTTTTGCTTCAGCTTGAGCGGGGTGTATTTCACAACAGTACAGGGAGCTGTGATCTGCAGTACACCTTGTTCTCCCTCTCAAACCCGGTATGGCTTGACTAGTACACTTGAAAAGCATCCTGTGGAAGTTCATCTGGTGTTAAAAGGACTCAGGATGTGCTATATCCTGGGGCAGCTGATTAGCATTTTGATCTTGAATGTCAGAAATTACAAAACTTTAACAGAACAATGAAGACCATAGGATTTGTTAAAGACAAGAGATGGAAACACCTTTTTTTACAGACAGACTTATTTGTCATTGCCAAGATTGCAGTGGCACATGAGGGGTGATTTCTAAAAGGAAAAATACAAATGACAATGTACAATAATAGTACTTCTCTGGCACCTTTGATCAGTGCATGTCAAAAAGCTTTTGACAACATGGGCCTTGGAGAACTGTGCTGTTAGAAAGGAGGAGTTCCTGGCTTGTTTCGGTGAACCCAGAGGTCTGAGAGTTGGATGTGTGATTCAAAATCAAGCCTGCCTACAGAAAAAACAGAGATAAAATGCAGATACCTGACATCCCGAGTCCTAAATTCTCCTGATTAATTGTTATTTGATTTATTTCTTACCAACTTCCTTTAGATCAGCAGTTGTGGTATGTTTAACCACAAACGTTAACTCAGCGGGTTTGAAAATACGGATCAATCTGTGCACTCAGGGGAGGAAACAGACTTCCTTGTAAGGTGATGGACCTGTTGATAAAGTCAAGCCTTTCAGGGGAGAGGCTTCCTAATAAAGCTGTGCTGCAAGGATGCCACATAGTGGGTGGGAGAAGGGTGCTTTTAGTTCTTTTGCATAGTTGATGTAGTTTATGTTCCATCACAGCTCACTTTTTTTTTTTAACTAAGTGAAGCAGTTTATACTCCTTTCCTTGTTTAAGTGTATGTTGGCATTTTTGTTCATTTACAGACATTGCCAAAAGTTGTATTTTGATCTGTCAGTGCTATCGCAAGACAGGCTTCTGGTACGCTTCTCATGCAAATGCTAATTACAAGGCCAATTGCTGCATTCTGCATGTTACCACAGTTGACAAGACCTTTCCATGTATTGCCATGTGTGCGATCTAAACATAATGGCGAAGTATAATTATAATATGTCTGCCGTCAGTGCCTTTGAATGCTGGTGATTTTTCATGACGAAGATCTGAGAAATAGTGGGATTTTTTACAATGAGTTTATAGGAAAGAGGTTAGGAAAAAAAAAAACAACCCTTTTTTTCTTCCTGTGAAGGGGAGTACATTTGAAGCAGCACTGTGCCTCTTTTTTAATCTGCATTTTTTGGTGGTTTCACTGTATTTTTTAGGTTGCCTCAAAATGTTTAGCAAGTTCTTTGCAAAGTTGTCATCAGCCAGACTAACTTTGGGAAGGAAAGCATGCATTTTAAGCATGTTTGGGAAGGAAATATAGACAATGGTTATCTAAAAATTTGTAAAAACTGTTGTATATCTTTCACAATTTTTTTTTTGTGTATTAATAGCTTAAGAAATAAATAAGCACAAGATATTTACCTTTGTTAACAGAGAAGGTCTGATTTAACATTTATACCTGCAGAGCAGAAAAAAATATCTTTAAAAGAAAAACCTTCCTGGGGCACACACATTCTAAATATGGCCTTTACACACTGCTTGCATAGCAAGTGTATAGGGAAATGGCTCAGCAAAACGTGTTGGTTTTTTTTTTATCTCCAGGTATCAGTAGTTTGGATTCTGTTAGCTTGCTTTTGGTTGAAAAGGAGATAGGGGAGGAAGCCCCTCTGTTTCTCTGCTCAGTTGCTAATTCAAAGCAGCATCTTTTAAAGGATACTAGAAGGTGAACTTAGATTGGGTTTGGTGCTTCTCTAAGACAGATACTCTTGTGCTTTCTGATTTGACAGTATTAATACAAATGTATTAACCCTGACTTTTTTATGTGGAAACAAACTTCTGTAAGGCTTTAAAGGTGAATTTATGAGAATCATGAGGTCATTGCTAGACTTCTCTGCCATTCTGCCTAAGGACAAAGGATACTATTGCCTGGGAATACAATTTTGAAATCTGTAGATATTTATTGGGTTGCAGAAGTGGAGATTGTGTGATACTTGAACATGATCCTGCATTTGAGTGTTACAGGCACTGTGCCTGGCTGAAATGGCTGGCTGCACTGCATCTTGCATGTATTAAACCCCCCATTTTTTCCGGAATTTTTGTAAAATCAGAGTGCTAGTATGGTTGTACAACAGAAGACTCCTTTTGTAATCATTTGATGCTCTTTGAAAGCAAATGTTGAAGAAAATTAATCTCTGATGAATGCTATTAAATGTTGATGTAGCATTAGCGTTACAGTTTCTCTATTAGCCTTGCATCCCTGCAGTTTTGGAAGCTGCTGAAATGTTCTAAACGTGGCAGGTTTGTGTTGCCACTGTCATTTAAGAAGTAACTGCTCAGCTGGTGTGGTTTTGTTTTGAAATGGTTCTTCGCATTATAGGTGTATTAACCTGTGATCACTTAGATGATAATCCTGATGTAAAGCTGCCTTTTTTTTTTTTCTTAAATGGTTCTAAAATTGATCTTTTTCAGAGCGCTTTTATTAGGCCTGGCTTGCAATCACAATCTGAAGGAGGTGTCTTTAGACCTCAGTAGCTGTGAGGTAAGGAATATTTACCAGGATGTGTTCAAAAGATCCAATGATGTGGAATTAGACTTCCCATGAAATCAAGAGGGCAAGATACTCTTCCTCTATAGTCAAAAGTTGTGGGAAAGGTAGAACTCGGAGAAGTAGTTATGGTGACTTAGTGGTTTTAGTCGGGACAGAGTTAATTTTCTTCACAGTAAAAACAAGCTGCTGGGTGTTACAGCATCATCCTGAATGATGAGCAGAGAAGTTCAAAGCACCTGCAGCACCTGATTGGCAAAACCCTCCTTGCAGGGTATCTGTTGTAGGTACTGAGCCAGCGCGCTGTCTGCTGCTTGGCAGCTTCTGCCCTTGCTCTTGTGAGTACACAGATCCCTGCAGCAGCACTTTCCAGGGTGCCCAAATCTGAATGGGCCACAGGAAGCTGCATGCCCTGAAGGCATGTCTGTGGTTTGTCTTCCTTCAAAACCAAAAATACCCTTCCTCGTCTTCTTTCCTAATCAATTAATCCATTCAGGCCAAGTAGGGAAAAAGTAAAAGTTGATTGAAGCATGTCATTAACTTAAGAAGCATCGTGCTAATGGATTTAAATATCTCAAGAATAAAAAATAGTTTAAAAAACCCAATTGTGGCAGCTTGATTGGCTTTGTCTTGTTCTCTCTTGCTTCTCTGCACTTTGCTGTGCACTTTGTTTCTCAGGATTGTCCGTACTCTTGCCGCTTGATACCTCCGTGGCTACAACTTAAGACAAAAGATCAGTCAGGACCCTGGGGAGCCAGTGGGGCAAGGTTACACAGAGAACTCTGTGGACTTTTTGCCAAAACCAACACAAACCAGCTTTGACTCAGGCCTCCGTAGCTGAGGAACCACCCTTTCCTTTTTAAGCTGTAAAGAAAGCCTCTCACTTGTTGGGCAGATTTTTCCAAGTCCACCACCCTGAGTATTAACTGTTCTGGAAGTGCCTTTCAAATGCAAGAGTTTCCCTTTAAGTAGAAAACTTGCATGTTTGATCAACATATTGAGGTGCAGTAATCCTTGCCTTAGGTTCACGGAATGTGCACAGATTTCCTTATGAAGAAAACCCCAAATAATTCTGACTGCATTTCATAGTTTGTTTTGATATTTTATACTTTAAGCAAATGGTATTACTTTGAAGAGCATTACATGTAAATTCCAAATAGAAAAGCTTTCAAGTCAAGTGCACATGCTTCTGACTTCTGAGTAGAGAGATCAGACGGATGATAATTTTTCTTTCAGAGGGAGGAAGAAAAAGGGAGGAGGAATTAAAGTAACAAAAATGAAGTCCTGTAATCATAACCTTAAAAGCATAAATCAATAAAACACAAACATCAGTAATGGGGAGTTAAATTAGCATGTAAATCAATGAGGGCTGACAGGAGTGAAAATGTAAGCCTTTCATTAAATAACACCCAGGATGGGATGTAGAGGAGCCCTTCGAGGGGCAATGAGCAGTACTGTGCACCAAAGTACAAGTGTTCATGGCCGACTCTCGTGACAGAAAAGAAGGAATCGTGCCCAACTTGCTGTGTTGCATTCCTGTAGTTGGTCCCTCCAAACTGACAACACTTCCTTAGATCCTTCCCTTAACATTTTTTCACATCACTGAGCTTTATCCATTCTCATGTGCTTTGGAAAGAAGTTAAACTTCCAGCAGCAGAGCTGCAGTGCCAGGAGCTGGGAGTATTCTCAGTGGGCCCAGCACCGCAGGGTCCTGCTCCACCTCTCCCTGACCCCCTGTGAGCTGGGCAGGGCAGTTGGAGCTGTGGGAAGCTCGTGCCGGTGACCTGCACTACTCCCAGTTCCTGCAAGCACACGCTGCAAGGAGGCTAATGAGCTGATACTTCAGCTTTGCCCTCCTCTTTCCTACATCAGGCAAGCTGTACTCAAGTGTGGAAGGATGAGTCTCTCTTCCTTCCTTCTCCCACCACTTTTCATTTGCTCCCATAATTTTCTGATATATTAACTCCAAGCTTAATCATTTTATATTGCTTGTTTGGCTGGGTTTTTAAAATTATTTTTACTATGAAAATTACATTTTTATTTCTACCTGCTTAGCACTGATGTATTTCACTCTTTTCCCTTCTGCTTCCCTTAGCTTGGTCACTGTGTAAGTACCCTCCATGCTTTACCTTAATTATTAAATCAGTGAGCAGCTTTATTTGACATTCCCATATTGGTACCTCATAGCTTTGAACACGTTTGGCATTTTTAATTGTTGAAGGAGTGTTCTTCATTTTCTGAAAAACAGCCTCAGAAGTATGTCATACAGGAGATGTTGCAGAGGTGGGATTTTTTTCAGTATCACAGTCCATGTTGACAAAGAGTCCTTCAATTAATCTCTGCTTTTTTTATATATGTTATTTTAATACAGTTGTGCTAAATTTTGATCCTAAAAATCAAGTTGTTATCACCACCCTCAGGTTAAGTAGATGTATCACCATTTGTGCACATGATCAGTAGAAGATTGAAAGCTGCTCCTGAAAAATTGTCCACTTTATCCCCCAAAGTGTATGTAGCATAAGCATTTGGAATCTATTGTGAGTATAATTTTAGTGTATAGAGCTTTTACCATACCAACAACCAACCCAAGACCACATATAATCTGCCAGTTTCAAAGATTTTGCAATAATAGTTGTGACACTGTGTAAAATGGTTGTCTTGTGGTGGGCTGAGGGAGCAGCACAGAGCAAAACTGAGGGATTTTGGCATTTGTACAGCAAATGCTATTCCAAAAATAAAGTTGAGTTAAAATTGCACTATTTCTGGCCCAAATACAAATTTTAATCTGACCACATCTTGAGACGACAGGGTGAAGGATAGCTGATCTTTGTTTTGTGCAGAAGAGGAAAGGTGCCTTACGTTCTGTATCTCTTAAACTTTCAGATGTGGCTTATGATTTAGGTGATGTCCTTGACCACTGCTGGTCTTTAAATACTCAGTCCAAGTTGTTGAGCTGCTGGTTAACCAATCACATACCTCAAACTTTCTTAAAAGTACCAAATCAAGTCTTTATTGAAAAATACTTCTGAAGGCATTTGTGGTTCCTTAATTATAGCATGGATAAGAGAGACTATTCACAGAAATACCAGCAGGCTGATTCAAGATATTTAGCCAAGTAAGTTGACTAAGTAAAATATTACTCATTTTTTATGAACAGGAGGTGAAAAGGCTATTTCATGTTTGAAAAAGCTTTCCCTTTTTTTGAAGGAAGTGGGGGGTGGGGGAAAGCAAAAATAGAGGTTTTACAGAACTTTTCCCCTCTTTTGCTTAAGTCTTTTCCTGGGGGATGTCCATAAAGTCAAATGCACTTTATATAGTTTGTGTAGCTGCAAGACATAAGAAAATACTTTTGCTTCTTTGAAAAAAAAAAAAAAGCTGAATTGTTTAATTCAGTAACATTAGTTAAATAAGTGTGTAAGTCTTAATAACATTGATTCTTAATGCTGATGTTTTCCCCTAGGCCATTTAATTGGTTTTTTTTTCATTAAATCCTGACATTTCTTTTATATTCATTTAATAGTTCAGATTAATAATATCATAATTGATACTTTCTAGCTAGACATTTTGGTTATTGTTGCTGTTTTTCTCTTTTATGCCTATTTTAAAATTCAGAATAAGGTAAATCACTGATTTCTCTTGTTCATGGTCTTTTGTGGCCATTTTGCAATTGGATTACTTAAATTTTCTTTTCCATGTCAGGGAAACAATTTCTTTTTTTTTTTTTTTTTTTTAATTTGCTACTCATCTTCCATCTGGACAGCCTGGCATTGTGCTGAGGGCAGAAAGAAGATGCTCACTATAAGCCTTGACTGTGGTGGAATTCAAGGGTGATGGTGTTGCATGCTTCTAGGCCGGGCTAAGTTTATTTTGTTTTTCTCACTGGATGTTGGAAATGTCCTGGCCCTTTCATGTAGAGAACTCACATCAAAGTCCTGCAGTCACTGCCTGGCACAAGTGCTAAAGGATTTGTTGTCTCGGCACCATTTAAACCTTTCCCCAATTTAACTGGAGAGCAGTATTTTAAGAGAGAAAGGAAGAAGAATCCCTTTTCTCATCTGTATGCCAAGTGAGATGAAGGATGAGAACAGTAGGAATGTGTGCATAGGCAGTCATGCTGATGTCTGTAACTTCTGTTGCTATTGGTTTTGCTGCTGGTAGTGCCTTCTGTATTAGCAAGGCTCTACTGTTTTCTGTGTGATCTTGAAACCGTAACTAGTTTGCAAAAATGGATGATGTTTTGTCTCCAGTTAAGATCAGGAGGTGCACAAGTCTTGGAAGGATGCATAGCAGAAATACACAATATCACCAGCCTAGATATTTCAGACAATGGTAAGTACACAGAACAGGAATGGGAGGGTCATGCAAGTCCAGAATCTGAGAAACACTTTTCCTTTCAGCTCATGGTGTAATCAAGGATGGTCACTCTGTGATTATTGGCCATCTTGGTTATGAAAATGTCTCAGACCAAGAACTCCTGTTACTGTAAAATATAGAGGAAATGTTTATAGACCAACTGTACTCTCAGAAGTTTGTTGTTTAAGATAAATGTAACAGAACAGACTAAACTATGACAGCAAGCATCATATTAGATCTAGAGGAAAGTGGTTTTAAGTACAAGAGGATGAGAAGCTGAATGAGAAAATGTAGTGAAAGAAGAAAGACCAGGTACAGAATGAAGCTGAGGCTGCGATACTGAAGAAGCAAGAGAGAGAAATTTGGAGCAAATAGTCAACCAGCTTCAGGTTGAAGAAGGTCTGTTTTGAGTCTATGAAAGAGTCTTGGGCTATTCCTGCTTTGGAGGCTCTGTGCATTCTAGCTGGGAATGCCAGCTGGCTTCTCATCTTGCAAACTCAAAATGTAAATGTAGAGGATGGAAGAATTCACCTGTTGTGTTTGCCCCTCTGAGAGCCAAATGTGGAATTATTTCAGAAAGAGATTCCCAGTACCACCGAAGGCCCAGGCAAGGTGGTATGGATTGGCAAGTGGAGAGATTTGGGAGCTACTAACACAGCCTATTATGTAAATACATTCTTATATATAAAGCTAGATATTTGACATCTAAGTTATCCTGTAGATCTGGATCCTAAGTCATTGTAATCTAACTAGTGGACTCTTCGCATACACCGCTAGTTTGGGAATACAATACTACAGCAAGTTATTTTTCTTACCCAGGAGTAGAATAAAATTTGGCTTGTTTTTCAGGTCATTTTATTCATAGCCTGTTGTGTTAGCCTTTTTGCACTTTTGAAGGCTTTGAGACCTTGTGGGTACACAGCTCTACTAAGACTAAATAGCAATTAGCACAGTCTCAAAATTCTCAAAGGAACTTTAAACACTGCCTGACAATGCAAGGAAATACACCCTAGGTGGTTGGACTACAGATAAGGGACTACATTTCTCTCCTGTGATGCTGAGAGGTGCCTTCCATGGCTGATTAAGATGGAGATTTCAAGGGCTCATTTTAGAGAAAGCATTTATTCTCACAGAAAGAGAGAAGCAAAAAAAAGAAAAATACTTCAAAATAGAAGAATGGAAATATATGTAGAGCTCTTGGAAATTGGTACACTGATACAGTTACTTGAATGAATATAGTGTTAATAATTGGACCCTGTCTGGGTCTTTTGTGAAAATGTGTTGTAATTCCTAATCTAATCTGATTCTTTACAGGCCTAGAATCTGACCTCTCAACCCTTGTAGTCTGGCTCAGTAAAAACCGCTCAATAAGACACTTGGCGTTAGGCAAAAACTTTAACAACATGAAATCCAAGTAAGGCTTTTCTCTCTTTTAAATAACAAGAGAATGGATGAGGAGAAGCTGCTGATTTCATCGTCGTCTTAACTTTTCTTCCCTCAGAAATCTCACTCCAGTACTTGATAATTTAGTTCAGATGATTCAAGACGAGGATTCAGTGAGTATCTTTCTGCTGCTATCATCATGTGCATTTGTACCTATTTGTGATAATTTTCTTCTGTATTAAATTGCTGCATAAGATTTGCTCATGATCCTGCACAGACGCATCCAACATTTTGGGGTTTGTTTTTTCAATTAGTGATTTGGGTTATGTGTAGCATGCAGGTAAATGTGTCTGAGGATAGTCTTAGGATCTGTGCCTGTTGAAAAAATATACATTCTGAATAGTTGGATGTGGTTAATGTAGTTGCTTTGGGTCTAAATTATACATTCCTCTAGGCACAAGTTTTCAAAACTTTTGTGTCCTGATAGGAGTTCACAATGGGAATTGTTCTCGGGGTGGTGATACTTCTTCAATAACAGATTTTTTCTTTCTCTTTTTTTCTTTTTTTTTAATTAATAGAATGCACTATTTTCCGATAGCTGTTCTTGGGTATTGTCTTTTTTTTTTGCTTGACAAAATGCAAAGTCACTGCAGTGATCTCCCAGAACTCCTTTCTCCTTCAAAAGATGCATATAGACTGTTCAGTGTGCTATTCTTTACTTCTCCTAGTACATCACAAGGGCAATTTCATAAAACCCTTTCAGAGTGCCTTGCTGGGATCCTTGCCCACTTTCTCCATTTCCATCCTCTCTTTTCCGATTCTGAAAGACTTTTGTGTCTGAGTTTGTGTTCTTGCCTTACTTGGCATCCTAGTTTTGGCTATAAGGGAGTCTTAAAATGCTCTATTTTTAAGATTCATGCTTATCAATCTTTATTCATCTATGCTTAGCCCTTTCTTTCTCTTTCATTCTACATACAAGTGACACGAAGGCTTTGCTTTCCTCACTCTCCGTAAAATTCCTGTTGTCTTTGTTGCCCCACCTCCAAGTGCATGGCCTCCACACTAACTGCTTTCTTATTGTCTCCTACCATCTCTGTCTGCACCCTGCAGTTCAGTGGAGTGGTTTTTACCAGGGTTTCTGGTGTCTCCTTCCATGCAAGGTCGTTAGACCGGTACTCTGTGTTCGTCTTTTCTTACTGCTTAGTGATTTGTTAAACTGTACTTCTCTCTCTGTGTCCTCTTCATTAAGATAAGTGGTATTGTCTTTTTTCTCAATTCTTTGCCTACCCCCTCATCTTATTCTGTACAACGTGGTGTGTCAGTGTGACACAGTGAAGTGCTGCGTACATATACCAGAGTTGATTCTAATTGAGTTAGCACCTGTAATGAAAACAGTAAGTCCTTGTTTGCACAAGTCAGATGGAACATTGTGCCAAGAGCTGCATTGGTAGATCTCTGTATTACTTCTTGTACCGAAGTAGCCTTTTCATTTTGCAGTGTGTCAACACCTCCTCCTGCTCTGTCTCTAAGGGGTATGGTACAGGGCTGCCTTCCCCTTCTCTTCCCTTCCTACTGATACCGTACTGAGGGGTAGTATCATTTCATCAGCTAACGTCACCTCTTTGGACATTTGTGTCTGTCATGTCCTGTATCTCATGCTTAATCTTTCATAGCTATCCTGAAGGCTGCTATGTCAAACCAGATAATCACAAGCAAATGTTTTTTCGCAGTTTCCTTCCTCCCTTTCCTTTGTTGCAGGTGAATATTTCTTCCCACTCAGGCCATATCCTAAAACACCTCTTCAACACAGTGTCTGTGTCCTTTCAGTATTCAAACCATCTTCTCAAACATGATGCTGTTTGGGTGTGGTTTTGGTGGTTTTGGTTTGGGGTTTTTTGGGGGGGTTTTTTAGTTGTTGGTTTTTTTTTTTTCCTATTTATATGACTATCCTGTTCATATTATCTGTTCACAAGGATAAAAATTCCAACTTTCACTTTACTGTCTCTATTAAGTGTTACAACTTTCTGTTTATCTTTCCTGGTTTCTGTTTTTGAAGCTTCTAGGGCAGAGAAAATGTAGCTGCTAAATTTCTGATGTATTATTCTCACAGCTCTCCCTCCTTTACATCATCAACCTCAACTTGCTTGTGCTCCTTTTCCTTTCAGCCCATAGGCAGTGTCAGCCATCATTCCGCTTCCTGCCTTTGCCACAATCCAGTGGACAGATGAGCTCCTGGAGTTCTTACTCACCATGTCTTTCCTGAGCTAACCTACAGAACTCGCTTTGTAGTCTAATCCTGTTTTCAAAGAGTGTTACAATGACATAATCCACCAAAAAAAAAAAAAAAAAAACCCAAAACTTAAAATAACTGTCTCCTTCATGTCATGCATTAACCTTTGGGATACAGCATGTGATCCTGTTGGTGTTAACCTGTCTCTTCTCTCCCCATATTCTTTTGTCATGTTAATCCTCTTCAGTGAAGGAATCTTGTTTCATTAGGTGCTAAGATCAGTCTGAAGCATCCCATAGCAGTTAAAGAGTTGAGGATGTAGCCTCTGTTGCACCATGGGAAAAGCATATGTTGCAGATAGCTGGATGGTCCTCACTCTACCTTGAGATAGTACCATGATTAGAAAACAATTTTAAGTTTCTAGTTATTCTGGTTTGGTTTTGACTCCTAAATGGGTTGTGGTCCTTGTTCTGCCATTGCTATGCACTTACTGCCACAGGACATAAACATAAGGGCGGAATTGGAGAGACCAGGATGTGATGTTGCCCAGAGCATACTGCTTGATCAGTATTGCTTGCAGGCTGGTACGGTTTGGGGAGTATGCATTTTCTGCATGGAAAGCTGAAGCAAGAGGCTTTAATCTAAAATAGACATCTGCCACATGCTTCTTCATGTATTTATACACGCTTTAAATAGATCTGTTGCTGTGTTAATGAATAACAAGTAAAATGATTTAAACAATCAATAGCTTGGGTTTCTGTCTGTAAAAATACAGCTAGACACAAATGTAATTCTGCACAACTTTAAAGCAATAGTAATAACGCAATCAGCAAATTTTCCCAGGTGTTTAATGTAGACAAGAATGCAATATTTAGATTTGTTTTTGTTTTGCTTTGGTTGGTTTTTTTGTCCTCCTTTTAAGTAGATGCTGTACCGTGCAGGCTATAATAATACATTCTTATTAGTATTGCAGGAAGTGTCTGAAGCTGTATGCTTACTGTGCCATTTCTTTTCTTCTTGCAGAAATAGATGTTACACCGCAGGTAGAGCGTACCATTACTCAGAATGGTAGTCAGTCCTGCATAGGTGCAGACAATTACTATAGCACTGAATATCTTTAGTTCTTAGTTCAGTGCTTGTTGGAGAATTGGCCTTTTGAGGGTTTTTACAGCATTTTTGTTTGTAGGAGAACAAATTTAGCTTGATTCGATTCTTAAATGTTTTCCAGCAGGAGTATGACAAAATTAGTGAGTACAGTCATGCAATTTCTAATTCTATTCTTTACTTCCAGAATTCCTCTTCCTTAATAAGATCATATTATGATATCTTCACCTGATTGGCAAAGTATCTGTTTTCTGCAGCAGGGGCACTGGCGTGCTTGTCAGACTTCACTTTTCTCAATATCCAGCTGAAACAATTAAGTTGTTAAAAGAAGAAAATGTTTGTAGGCTGTGTAGAGTATTGCCCCTGTTTGGGGGGTGGGATTTAGTGTTGGTAGGGATTTTGTTTGTTGTTGGTTGGTTGGGGTTCTTTTAATGTAATGGTCAGAGAATTAAAGAATATTTAGCAGCCTGTACAGAGTTATGTTCGGATTGTAGTTTGAATTTAGGGTACCAGGTGAGTCCAGGGGTTGTTGCTTCTTGTTCATTGAGTAAATGCTTGGAGTAGCTGTACAAGAAAACTAGCAGCTCATCCACTTCAAAGACATGGCTAATACAGCAGGTGCTTTACTGTGCTCTGTGGTAGTAACGATGTATAGGTGCCAGTCCTTGCAGAACAGAGCGCAGAAGCGTTTTCAGTCATATACCGTTTTGTTGAGTGTTGGAATTCAGGAGATGAGGAATCCTTTCCCAGGAGGATATTTGAGGTGTAGAAAAATGGCTATGTGGGAGGGAGCACTGAATGACCCTTTCTGAAGTGACACATGAGAAACTTCACTTTCACAAGCTTATTGGCGATTCCTGTCCGAGAGCTGTGCGATGTTGCTTTTCTGCGAATCTGTCGCAGGAGGCCTTATCAAACTTGTGCCAAGAGCTCTGAATGCCATTTTAAGGCCATGCTAATATTCTTTAGGGTACATAATGTAATAAAATGGAGAACCACAGGCAGATTAAGGGCATTAACATAGTAATTTAATAACTTCCATTTGAAATAAAACCAGCATGTGGCTTGTGTTACTGTTAGACTTTTTAATTATAAACCGGCTGCGCCTCCAAATTTTTATGCGTTTCCTCATTTATAAGTGCATTTCTTATCGTTGCAAGCGTTTTGATTAGCACTGTAATCCAGTGGTGTCTGGAGGCTGGAGTCCCAATGTATAACAAAAACCATGCAAGCACATTGGACCCTGGAAGGTGTGCACAGTTCAGTTTGTTTTTTTATATTAACCTAAGCTTTAGACATCTAATGTAGGTGCCATAGTTCATCCTTATGAGGTGTTGATTTTCACATACTAGCAATTTGGAGACGTTAAGCTCCTAAAGTTCATCCTCCAATACATGCCTAAGTGGGTGTATGATGGCAATACACTCCTCCATATGAACTGACACTTGAGCAAGGGAAAAGTTTTGTAGGGTTGTACATCAAAGACAAATTACAATTTTAGCAGGTGTAATAGATGGTGATGGATAGACTATAGTTCTTGAGCTCCTGCCGTGGAGTATTGGGACACTGAGAAAGGAGGAAATACAGGCATTTAAAAAAGTTTTCTTAGGGCTTAGAGTGTAACTTTCAGGAGCCCAGTAAAGTAGTTTCAGCTTAACATAGTATATTTTTTAAAAAAAAAAGGTTACCTAAAGATATTCTAGTGGAAGGCATCCCTGCCCATGGCAGGGGGGTTGGAATGAGATTAAATTTAAGGTGCCTTCCAACCAAAACCATTCTATGATTCCTTTCTGTGATATTGCAGTCACAATCACAGGTTTGAGAACACCAATGTGAATAATAACCATTGATTTATTAATTTTAATAGATAGTATTCTTACTGGTTTTAATTTCAGACCTGCTACAGTTTTATGGTTTTTTTTTTATCCCAAATGTCCCTGCCCTTAGTCAAAGGAACAAGATAGGCCAAATCACTTCTAAAATTGAAGTCACAACAATAACACGGTTTAAAGAAAATGTTCTTGTTTTAACAGTGTCTCAGATCCTAATTTGCAGTTGGATGAAGTGCTCAGTCTGAGGGAAAGGAGCGGCACTGACAGCGAAGCATACTGGTTAAGCAGAACCCACTGGACACTAGAGGTGGTTCTGTGAGGCCGGCTGTTGCTTTCTTGCCTCTTTTCAGGTTCTCACTGTATTCTGCACTTAATAGGACACAGGAAACTGCAGGCACTATCACTTTTCTTTTTTTTCAGGGTGTTGCAACTTAATCTCTTTGTGTGTGTGTATGGGGTTGACCCCTGTGCTGTAAGACGTTGACCCCCAATTTATCATGTGCTGTAGGATCTGCAGCAAACACAGAAGTAACTCTTTGGTGCTTACTGCTGTCTCCAAGAGTCTGAGGGACCTGTAACTTCTTTTGGTTGATGTTCAAGGAATGAGTGCATTATTAGTTGCTGTTACCAGTGCCTTTTCTGTGCCCCACAGCCGCTGCAGTCATTGTCCCTAGCAGATTCCAAGCTGAAGACGGAGGTCACCATCATTATTAATGCCTTGGGCAGCAACACTTCTCTTACAAAAGTGGATATTAGTGGAAATGCTATGGGAGATATGGGAGCAAAGATGCTGGCAAAAGCCCTACAGATAAACACCAAGCTCAGGTAAGGGAAACTTGTTCTCAGTAAAAGATAGAATGGCTTAATAATACTGAAGTTGTTGGCTTGTTCTCAAGACGTTTCTCGTCTGAACCCTTCTAGGTGCAGCCACTTTATAATGTCTCCATTTGGAAAGATTCTCACCCTTTTTTCTTTATAAAAAAAAAGAAAAAGGGGCGGGGGAAGGAAGTCCCAAAACTAAGAGAAGCAAATTGTCTCTGCAAAAATATTTCTATAACTGAAAATGGAGAAAATGACATTTTCTAATTTTAAACATAAAGAATTCTAGTTGGAACAAGAGTGCTCAACGTTTCCTAGAGTCACCCTAGGAAAAAAAAAAACAAAACTCACTTTGTTATAGAGCTCTGGATGTCACCTAATTCAGTGTCCTTCTCAAAGCACGGCCAACTGTAAAGCTATATGGGGTTGCTCAGGGCCTTGTCCAGGCAGGTTTTGAAGACGTCCAAGTGCAGGGATTCCACAGTGTCTCTGGGAACCCTGTTCCAGTGCTTAGCCACTCTCCTCTGTTCCACTTTTGCTTTTCTACTGGAGGTCTTCCCACCAGAGAAAATTCTGGTACTTGGGTGGGAAACAAAGTAAATTATTCTGTGTGGGAAACTAAAGTAAATTATTCTTTGTCTTCTGGAGTATCAGTTTGTGGGAGAAATAAGAGCATGTGGAATTCAGAATGGATAGCAGCATGAACCATCCTTCCCCTTTCCCCTGCCTACAGTGCTGATGGACCTTGGCGTCTCTTCTCTGCAACTTTATCCGCCCAACAACTTCACTGCTTTTTAGCACATGTCTGGCACTGATGGCTTGAGAGTATCACTTTTTTTCTGTCCAGCATATGATTAGCAAACAGTAAAAACTTTCATCAGCCTGAATCTGGATGGGGTCTATAAATATGTCGCCATCATCGGGGAAGCTAATCCTCACTCCTCCTCTCGTCAGGCTGTGCAGATGAACCTTCCTCAGTGTATTGTCTGTATGAAGAGACCACTTTGTGCTTGGTCTCCAAACATTTGTTCCCTGGAGGATTAGAAATTCCCTAGAACAGTCCTGGCTGTTTTTTTCAGAAGCGGGGATCCTGGTCTTTGTGTAGCTATACCCAAACTGAATATTGAAAATGTCAGGAAAACACTGGAGAGGTGGTTTATGTTTATTGAATGTGCTAACCTGAAATGACCACAGTACCTGAAGAAATAAGGCCTTGACAGCTTTCAGGATGGCAGCCTGAAATGTTCCACAGCACACTGAACGTCACAGTTGACATACTGTCACCACAGTCTGTGGTGTGATTGCAAACTGCATAATGCAATAGTAACTGTCTTTGCTTGAAATGTTACAAAATCATATCCAGGTAGAAATATAAACACACTTTCCAATGACAAAAATATCAAAGATTTGACCCTATGCATACCTAACCTTAGCAGAGTGGGTATAGGATATCTCTTCCTTTCTTCCTTACCTCCATTTTTCCATCTAAAAGACAATGGGACAATTCTGCAACAGCAGAAGGGTGTCAATACCTGTGAAACCCTGCCATCTATCCTTTTTTTTTTATCCTTTAACACCAGAAATCTGTTGGTTTTTTCTTGTGCCTTTTTTTAAGAACAGCTACAAGTAGTGCTCTTGCACAAGCAAAATTTATCTGCTTGACTGTCTCTTCTGACTACTAATGAGATGTTTGAACATGTGTTCGCAAATTGCCAGGCAGTCTGCTTGAGTGGTCTAAACTGGGGGGGGG